CAAAAAAAAAAAAAAAAAAAAATTAGCCAGATGTGATGGCGCACTCCTGTGGTCCCAATTCTCTACAGGCTGAGGTGGGGAGAATCGCTTCAGCCTGGGAGGTTGAGGCTGCAGTGAGAGGTGATTGCACCATTGTACTCCAGTCTGGGCGATGGAGTTGAGACTCTGTTTCCAACAACAAAAAACGAGATGCGCTGATGGTCAGAGGGATGTGAGCTTCTAGGCTATCAGGCCCTGGGGCTCCAGAGGATAACAGAATAGTAGATGAACAGGGTTCCTGCCTTCCAGGAACTCATACTATGCTAGAGGAGACAAACAAAAAGTTATGATATGTTAGTTCTCTATCTATGCTTTGCTGGGTGTCCGAGCCAAAGGAGCTTGGAGCCCAGGGGAAGAAGTAACCCCTGAGATCGTGGTGGATCTCAACGTTTGCAAGAGGAGGAAAAGCATTCCAGGCAGAGGAACAACATGTGTAAAGGCATGGAGTTATTTTAAAATGGGGAGAGGGCTGGGTGTGGTGGCTTATGCCTATAATCCCAGCACTTTGGGAGGCTGAGGCAGGTAGATCATTTGAGATCAGGAGTTCAAGACCAGCCTAACCAACATGGTGAAAGCTCGTCTCTACAAAAAATACCGAAAAAAATTAGTCGGGCGTGGTGGTTCACACCTGTAATCCCAGGTACTTGGGAGGCTGAGGCAGGAGAGTCGCTGGAAACTGGGAGGTAGAGGCTGCAGTGAGCCGAGATTGTGCCACTGCACCCCTGCCTGGGCACATAGTGAGACTCTGTCAATCAGTCAATCAATCAATAAATGATGGGGAGAGGTTCAGTGCAGCTGGAGGGGATTCAGATCTCTGGAAGAAATAGGCCTTAAGGATGGAAAGGATTTGAAATGGCAAAAGAGAAAAACATCTCAGGCCAAAGAGCAGGCATAGGAAGAAGCATGCACCCAAATGTCGAGAGGTAGTAAAATCACATTGTGGGGAAGACAGGTAAGAGTAAGGAGCCCATGGCCGGGCGCGGTGGCTCAAGCCTGTAATCCCAGCACTTTGGGAGGCCGAGGCGGGTGGATCACGAGGTCAAGAGATCGAGACCATCCTGGTCAACATGGTGAAACCCCGTCTCTACTA